GAGTGTCGGACCCCTGGAGATAGTGTTAGAAACGGTTGTGCGCCCCTCTGTTGGGTGCTGCGACTAGGACTCGGTTCCAGGTCCTTCACCCCTTGCTTTTCTGCCTAAGACATAATAAATGCGTGGGAATGCTCCTCTCGGAGAGTAGGCGGGGCATGTGGGTGAATTCAACCAGCGGGATGTGGCAAAGAGACTTCCGCCTCTCACTTCCACTTCTGGAGCACTGCGAGGGCACTCGGAGCTTGGTCCCGGAAAGTCCGCGGAATTTCCTTTCTCCAACTCCATTGGCTTCAGCCTTTGACCACCTGACTCATCCGGCCAACGAAAGGCGGCTGAATCAGTACTTCCGTCTCTGTGCGCGCTGGGCAACCCTCTAGGCCCACCCCACGAGCACTCTGATTGGCGGGCCTCTCGAAACTCGCTCGCTTACTGGCCAGCGCGGACCCGGCCGTCCAGCGGCCACCTAGAGCTGTGTCAGACAAGCCCGGCAGCCCGGCAGCCCGGCAGCCATGGCGTCTTACTTCGACGAGCACGACTGCGAGCCGTTGAACCCCGAGCGGGAGGCCCGCAACAATATGTTGCTGGAGCTCGCGAGGAGAGTGCGCGGGGCTTGGAGCTGGGCCCCGGGGAGCAGGTTTCGGGGCTGGGCCTTGGCGGAGAGGGCGGGTAACCAGGGAAGTGGAATGAATAATGTGGGACGTCAGTCCGGGGTAGTCGAGTCGTTAATTTGGGCCATTACTAAGCAGGGCCCGCCAGCGGATTGTGGGAAGGCCAGAGCTGGAAAGGGTGGGGGTCGCAGAAGGCGGCCCCGGGGAAGATTGTCTTGGGGCGGGCATGGCCTGTGCCCAGCGTAGAACCGGATAGTATATTGCTAGCCATAAGCAAGTACAGAAGCCCACTGCCGCCCTGGAATCAACTTGGCTTTCCTTGAGACTGCTGCTTCTAGTAAAATGGGAATGCAAAGCGAGCGGCGGTTGTCTGATAGCCATAAATCACACCACTGCGCTGGTGTTTTCCTTGTTTTGTTTTGAAGCAACCGATGTATGCCTAACTTGCCTGGAACTTAGTATGTAGACAAGGCTGGCCTCGAACTCACAGCCTCCCAAGTGCTGTGATTACAGGCGTGCGCCATCGCTTTCAGCCCTCAGTCCGCCTTTATTTATTTATTTATTTATTTATTTATTTATTTATTTATTTATTT